GGAAATGCCACAGAAAGCAGGATGGATCAAAGTAACTAGCAACAACACTAAAAAAGAACTCAACAAAATGATAGCAATAAAACCTTGTCTCTCAATAATCACATTGAATGTAAATGGTTTGTATGCACCACTGAAGACAAAAAGAGTAACAGACTGGATAAAAAAAAATCAAAATCCATCAATATGTTGTCTCCAAGAGACACACCTGGAAAATGAAGCCAAAGAGACACTAAAAAGAAAAGGGTGGGGAAAAAAATATACCAAGCAAATAGCAACCAGAAAAAAGCAGGAGTAGCGATATTAATCTCTGATAAAATAAATTTCAATGCAAAAACCATCAGAAAGGACAAAGAAGGTCACTATATAATGATTAAAGGGTCAAGAGAACAAGAGGACATAGCAATAATAAATATCTATGCATCAAATGAAAGACCTGCAATATATATATAAAACAAACAATAACAAAACTGAAAAAGGAAATAGATAACACTACTATCTATAGTACTTGGAGACTTCAATATACCACTCTCAATAAAAGACAGAACTACCAAAAAGAAACTCAACAAAGATACTGAAGAATTAAACCACATAATAAACCAACTCAACCTCACAGATATTTATAGGCTAATGCACCCCCAAAAACCACAGTATACCTTCTTTTGCAATGTGCATGGAACATTCTCCAGAATAGATCACATTTTAGGTCACAAGGCAAACATCAATACATTAAAAAACATATAAATAAGTAATACAAAGCATTTTCTCAGACCACAATGTTACAAAATTAGAAATTAATAACAAGAGGATCAAAGAGAAAAATCTATACACCACCTTGCTTGAACATGAGTGAAATAAAGAAGTTTCTTGAAACAAATGACAATTAAAACCTCACTTACCAAAACCTCTGGGAAAGAGTCAAAGCATTAATTAGAGGTCAATTTATAGCAATAAGCAAACACATTAAAAGGCAAGGGGGGAGGGGGCCAGGGGAATGACCATTGAAGAACAGCAAGAAAACTTGACACCCTATTAAAAAAAAACCAAAAAACTGAAATTATAAAAATTAGAGCAGAAATAAATTATTTAGAAAACAGAAAAACAATTGAAATCATCAACAAAACTAGGAGTTGGTTATTTGAAAATGTCAGTAAAATCGACAGACTACTAGGAAACCTAAAAGGAAAAGAAGGAAAAGACAGAAATAATCCGAATAAAAGATTAAATGGTCAGTGTCACAACAGAACCAA